CCGTTTTTTTGGCGAAAACTAAAAAGTTATCTTTTTTTGTATTAATCTCATGAACTGTTAGTTTATTGGATGATTGTATCTGATAAGATCCTGCCGTTGTAGCCGTAGGACAGGTACTCAGTTGCATCTGATAACCTTGAAAGCTAGTGGAACATACTTAATCGACTACACTGAATCTAGTGACAATGTTTGTCTCTGGAGAGATTTTAAGAAATTACAAACTCTTTGATAAAACCGTAAACTTTTGTAGGTTTTCTTTTATGGATTTCTTATAAAGAGGATATCGAATATCCTTAATATCACACGTGAATTTTTCAGGCTGTTACAATGTATTTGAGTGAGTTACTTGAAAAAGTCTAATTTTTTGCAAAAAACAGTCTTCAACAGCTTCTTGGATTCTTTCCAAAGACAAACATTGTCACTAGATTCAGCGTGATCGATCAGACATGGTCCATGCGGTTTCAAGACTCAAAAGTCATCGGTATCAGTCCTGCAGCTTCAGAACAGCATCCAATACTTCACCGAAACGGTCGGAAAATCAAGATCTCCTCTATGGAACAGCGAAAAACACATGCCTCTATCTCTTTTCGTTAAAAAGTTACTCAAAAAAATATCCGAGTCCATTCTACGTACAACGTGATAGTAAGAAAAACAAAACGATGAAAAAAAATTATGACAGTTAACTGACTGTTTTTCACCTGTTAATTAACACTTATAAAACAGCCAGTTAATGGTGATCATAAACCCCAGTAAAATTCCTATGAGTTTCCTGACAGGATTCGAGACATATCCCACCAATATCCTACTAGGATTTCGCTTTAATTTCTTAGGATCCTAACAAAATCCTGCAGTATCCTAATAAAATCAGGTATACTCGAAGTCATAGGATTTTCTAAAATTCTGTTAGAATCCTAAACAAAAGCGAAATCCTAACAGGATTCTAACATTTCAAGATCCTGCTAGGAAGTTATTAGGTGGATCCTAAATGTTAGGATCCAATAAGATCTTAGTAGGAAATAGATAGAAAGTGCGTCGAATTTTGCCTAGGGAGCAGTCCTTTTTGATTGACTGAGATATTCATATTATTATTTCAGACTAACTTCTACTAATTTCTATGATATCACTACACTGTTAAGAATGATTAGATTTAATATTTTATAATAGTATTGCTATAGTATGCGTCAAGAAAAAAAAGAAAGATAACCAAAATAAAATCGTAGATATCCTTATTTTGAATTTCTACTTCATTTTTTTAATCTAATACTTCCGTGAAATTGACTTTGAAAGATAAGATTTGGATTAAGAAAATAAACGGGACTTGTTTTTCTTTGTTAATACTATTTAGTATGTATTAAGCTTCTGTACTGTGTCTATGAAATTATTCTTTATTCATCGAATGTAACGCTAAATGATTGATATATAACAAAACATTTATCAGTAATTGGGCCAATAGCTTATTTACTTATATGAAGTTTATATCCTGTCGTGAACACACGTTATAACAGGGATAATATTTATCTCCTAATAGGCTCTGGTGAGCAAAAATGTTCGATTTAAGGTTTTTTGTTTACATGAAAAATACCATAGAAAAACATTTCATAATACGCAACCAAATTAACTTGTCAATATAGAAAAATTCGTTTATTTAACTAACATTCACGTCTTCTATTACGTATATTATAAATGACTGATTAATGTTTCTTCAACATTTAAAGTTTCTTTTTCTATATACTTTCAATTTTTGTTGTTTAAAAAGTTTTTCATGTTTGTCTTTTTTTTCTTTCTTAAAGTTTTCTCTTTTCAAAATGTATTCTCAAGTGTCTGTTCGCGAATCCTTTCTGTGAATATTGTTCATAATACAGTTATGTCGTTATTGTCAATTGTTGTGTGCTCGAATATATGTATATATATATATATATATATATATATATTTGATATTCTTTCAACAACAGCAACAAAAACGAGAAACATCATGTATGCGTGACCGAAGACATATATTTGCGCTCACTTCGTCGTTCGTTTTTTTCTTCTTTTCTCTTTTGATTTACTTGTGTCAAATATTAAATATATGTAGTATATTATATTAAAAGTGTACTATATGAAGCAAGGCATTAGTGATGCTGTTGTTATTGTTGGGTGTCTGTTGATTGTTTAGTAATATCATCATTTCATAAATATACCAGCTTAATTATAACAGATTTTTAAATTAAAAGATTTTTTGTCAATTAAGAGGATTTTTCTTAATCAAAATTCGTTCAGATATAAAATTTTACTAGTTAAGTAATTCAGTTCTGAACAAAAAATGTTGATAACTAATCTTATTATCTCTTCTACTCAAAACGTTTTCTTCGCTCTGTCAATCGAAATATTTGACGCTGCTAGAGATCAAGTTCATTGGCAATATAGAATTGAGACAAAGTATGTTGGTTTCATTAAAAACCAATCGTATAATTAAGATCCAGAATAATTCGTCAAAACATACAGAACATGAGTGACTCTTAAAGAATCAATAAATTGATGAGATTGAACGCCAAGCACAGGGCAGTGTTCAGTTGAATGAAGTACGGCCGTTTTATAGACGAATCTCGTGCAGGCAAAATAGCAATGACGTTTCGGATAAAGTATCCTAGTATAGGAAGAAGTTTAATAGAGTTTAATTATTATCTTATAAATGCTATTCTATTAGACTTCGTACTCAGAGAGAAACTTAATTAACTAAACAAAACAAAAAAGGAAGAATCTAAAGAAACTGCAATGCCAAAAAGTTATTTTGCCCCAATCATTAATCAATATAATAAACTTTGATTAAACAACTTACATATTGATTATCAGAGATGGCAGCAGACAGGTTAACAAGAGGCCTTATTTTTTAACCAAATTTGAAATATCTATCTGTTAATATATGCAAGGTTTTTCTTTTTCTCTCTTTTTTTCTTTTCTTTCTCTTATATTTGAAAATGTTTTGATTCGTGCTTAAATACATGTCTCTTCTTCTCTTGTCTCCATCATCATGCAAACAAAGTGTAGTATGTACGTATATTTGAAATTAAAAAATAATAACAGAAAATGTTTGAAAACTGTTCGATTGGGCTTACAATCGTTATTTTGTTATTGGATAAAATACAACCAAATAAGAGAATAATGTTTTTTCTTCTCTCTCTCTCTCTCTACTTGAACAATACTATGTAGACTATATGTATAACCAGAAAATCAACGTTCTATGCAAATAAATCAACATTTTCAAGAAACAAAAAAAAAAAAGAAAGAAAAGATAGTGAAACAGAAGAACGAAATCTATCTAATGTAACAAGCATAAAAATATAACTGAATTGCTTTTTTCTTCGTCTATTCTCTTGTTTTATTAAGACAAATATAGACATAATAATAGAAACAAATGAAAAGATGAAACTATAATACATATACACATGTCATCATTATTACTATTATTAATCTAACGATCGATATTAAAAAGGTAATGTATTAACTAACTAACTAATAGAAGACAAAATTCAAACTTTAGAAAATATTTAATCATCTAAAGTTTATTTATAGTAGTTCTCATACATCATGAAATCAAATCTCTTCTGTTCTATATTAAAAATATTCTCTCTTGTTACTTGTTAAAATCATTAAGATATAAGAAGATCTAAGTTAAGTGTATGGAAAAATAACTAGGATACTAGTACAAAAGAATTTTTAGATTTCAGTATGATGATGAACTACATTCACACAATATTCTATTTTCCAAAAATAAATTGAGTTTTCGAATATTCAGTGTTTCACGACTAATGTTCTCTTCAAGCATTGAAGTTTCATAACATTCATAGAATATCTTGAAAATGTGTTTATAAAATAAAAATGATAAATTTTTGTTTCAATACTTTTTCATTATCGAAAATAGGTAACCAATACTATTTATTAGTTCATATTCTATGAAATTATTGTGAAAAAGTGAGTCTATTATTATCTCATTCTATTGTTCGCTCTTCATAATATTCTTACAATACTTTCTCACTATTAAGTTTTTTGAAATAAATTATTAGTTACATTTTAATTGAACAAAACGACGTATGAAAATTAAAATAACAAAAAAGAAAATGTTGTTTGAAATAATAATGGAAAAAATCGAAGAAAAAAGAAATATTATTGAAAGAAAAAGAATCAAGAGAAAAAAAAACGTTTCTTATTGGTATCGAAAAGAAAATAAATGTTTTTTAACAAGAAAAAAAACAATTCATATATTGCATTCAACAAAAAATAATTTTTTTTTTTTTACATACATTGTTATTCAAAAGGCGAGGAACACATGCAGAAGACTAGTTTTTTTTTTTTCGAAATTTTCTTTTTTTTAATATTTACATTACAAATAATGCATCTTGAATGATCTAAGAATGTAATCAAATAAAGAAAAGAGAAGAAGAAAAGGAGAAAAAAAAAAACTCTTTATCTAACCAATACGATTGACTTTGCATTAGATCCAGTGTAGTTTATTGATATTTTTTTATAATTAAGTGTGCAAGCATATACACTCTTATAACAATATTTCACACAGATTTTTATTATTAAAAAAAAAAATTGAATTTCATCTTTATTGTGTGAAACTTTCAGGTATCCACTCTACAGTTAAGGTAAATAATCTTCTACCGATCAATTCTACATTAAATCTTGTTTGATCATATATGAAATCTATTAGCCATCAGAAGAGAAGAGGTAACAGACATTAGAATAATCCAAAAATAGTATAAAAATTTTATGTAAGTAGGACTTTATCTATCATTATTCATTTCTATGTAGAAATTTTATACTATTTCTGGTTTTACAGTCAGGAAATATTTTATAATATTTGCCATAATATAGTCAATGAGCTATTTTCATATATTCCCTTACTCTTTACTCAGTAATATTAATTTGCCATGAATTTGTAGACTGAAATTGCACAACTTATATATTGAACTGAAAATATTACACTTCTCAACTATATTTTGTTTTATATAGTAATAATGGCTCATTTATACGTTAATCATCTTGCAGCTGCTGCCGCTTTTGGTTCACCGTTTTACGGTGGTGTTTGTGGACGAGATCCGTTAACATCAGCTGAATCTTATGCTCTTATCAGCAGTTATTTGCGTTTATCACCAGAGAAAAAAGAACAACATCAAAAACCACCATATTCATATATTGCACTTATAGCAATGGCTATTAAAAATGCTCCTGATCATAAAATTACTCTAAATGGTATTTATAGTTTTATTATGGAACGTTTTCCATATTATCACGAAAATAAACAAGGTTAGAATTTGAATTTTCTTTCTATAAATTATCTCTTAAACATCTATATTTTTCTTCTTTTCAGGATGGCAAAATAGTATTAGACACAATCTAAGTAAATTATTATTATTTCTCTATATTTCAAATATTATAATTAATTATTTTTCTAGGTCTCAATGATTGTTTTATTAAAGTACCAAGAGAGAAAGGTAAATTTTTGTTCATTAATCAATATTTCCTACTTTAAAATAGTCTCATTTTTCTGTTAATCTAGGTAAACCAGGAAAAGGTAAGCTGATTAATAATTTTTCTTTTTCCTATTCCAAGATATTATATTTCTGTTGTTGATAATAGGAAATTATTGGACATTAGATGATCGTTGCGACGAAATGTTTGAAAATGGTAATTATCGTCGACGAAAAAGACGACCCAAACAAGTTATACATTCACAAGTTTCATCATTATCAAATTCAACAGCTGGATCAACGATGAGAACTCCTGATGGTAGTGGTAGTACAGATAATTATTTATTACGACAAAGTACATCGGATTTAGATTCATCATCAGAAGAAGATGAAAATAGTCAAATACCGTCTACTAGTATTATATTCCAAAATTCTTATGAGCAATTAAATCGTAATAAAAGTAATTATTCCTATCTTAAAATTGAGCAACCAAATTTAGATGATTATTATACACGTAATTCTAATTTGAAACATTCGGACGCTGATAAAAATGACGATACTGATCGACAATCGAAATGTTTAAAACGTACACGATCTGTTAGTTTTAATGAGAGTGCATCAAAAATTCAGAAAAAAACATCAAAATTCTCAATTGAAACATTAATTGGAAAAGATGATATGACAGAAAAGGATTCTACAATAAACAATGATGTTGTAACAAAAATACCAAAAGCATTAGAAAATCTTCCTATTCCTTCTATGGATAAATCATGTAGTTCATCTTCATCTTCATCATCAATATCACCATCATATTCTATTTCGCGTAATTATCCTTATGGACTACCGTCGATAAGATCATCAACAACAGCATGTCACTATAATCCTTATACAGCTGTAATGGCTGCAGCTGCTGGAAACTATTCAATATTGAATGGACTTGCTTTAACATCACCAACACTCTATAATGCAATAACAACAGTGAACGATGTTCTCTACGATTCGAACTATGCTAAATTATGATCTTTGAACATTCCACTTCTGTGAGTGTGTATGCTTGTGTATCTGATAGTTTTTTTTTTCTCTATTAAGAATAAAAAACAGTGTGTTAATTAAAGCCACATTTTTAATCTAAAAAAGATAGGATACAATATTTTGAAATCAAGAGTATCATCAAATCTCTATACCGATTTTAGCAGTATTTGTACATTTTAGAAAAAAAATTATTATTTTATCATAGAGAAAATCAGAGCCATTTCAAACTAAAATAATCTTTATATGAAAATATTGCTAAAATTGATATTTTATTTGGAACTAATTTTTTATTGAAATGTTATTTCACATAATAGTGTACAGTTGTGAAATATGGATCAAAATTCATTTCAACTGTGAAATCAATATTATCATATGAATATATTCGATGATCTCATAATTTCTTCGATTTATATCGTTCGTTCATCGTTAATGTGTTATTTTTCTCGCATGTTGTGTCAACTATATGTAAAAATAACATATTAAATATATATAAACAATAATATTCACTTGGTTTTTCGTTAATGATAAGCTTATAGAAGTCGAATATGTTTTATGTTTTTTTCTTTTATAATTGTTATGTATTATTGGTGATGGTAGTGGTATGTTTATTACAGATAAATGATGATTGTCTACAGTTTCTCTCTATTTATATGCCTCTAGGTTTGTTTTTTTAATAGTATTCACGGTGTAGATAGATTTATATGCTTATAAATGATACGGAATCGATGTTGGACATTTGTACGGATTTTTTTCTCTCTTTCTCTCTCTATATATACAAGTGACGTAATTGTTTTCGATTAATTGCTATTTGTCATACTACAAATACAGTGATTTTATTCTTACAATTTATTATTATTGAAATTAGATTCTGTATAACAGAAGGTTGATAAATAATTAAAAATAGTATAAATTCTGTCTACTAGAAAATAAAAATAGATTTTTCAATTTAAAAAAGTGTCTATTGATAATCTCTGTTAATAATTTAGCAATCATTTTTCTTTCTTTTTATTTTTTTATGAACTTTCTATGTGAGTAAATGTTCAAAGTATAGGCTATACTCATCTAATATTGATTAACATTTGTTGTTTTGCTCAATGAATGAATAAAGTGTTTTTAATCGGAAGCGAATTTAATCGGTTTAAAAGAAAAAATAACATTTTTTAAGAAATGTTATATGCCTGAAGCTGATTTGTTAATTAAACACCAATCAAACAAACAAAAATCTATAATTCTTTTCCTTTCCTTTCTTATTTTCTTTCCTTTCCGTTCTTTTCTCTTTTTTTATTCTCTGTTTGTTGTATATACTATAATATATTAATAATAATAATAATAATAAAAACAGAACATGTCTCTCTTTCAGAAAATCTTCTTTTCCATTATTATTGTTTCCAAAAATACTAAGTGATTGAAAAATAAAAATATTGTCCACAAGGAACAAATGAACTCGATCAATAAGAGAAAGAGGGAAAGTAAGAGAGAGAAGGAGAGAAAGGAAGTGGGAATAAGATCAAAGGATAGTCGACCATTATTATTATTATTATTATTATTAGACGCGATGTCGTTTTCTCTTATTTGATACTGCTAGGTAGCTCTAGTGAAATTCGTCTTTATGTAATGAAGAGCAGAGACACCTCAAGGGAGATTTTCAGAGGAGATGATGGAGTAAATTCTTTTTATTTTTAAAGTGGAAGTAAAACATAGCCTTTCAAATTTGGAGTAAACATATAAAAATCAGGAGCATAGGCTCCCCAGTCAAGGCACTCTGATGAAAAGTCTCATAATTAGGAAATTGAGATGTTTAATCAATATAATGTTTATATGTTCTTATAAATCAAAGAAATTTCTTGTAAGTCTAGAAGATTTTAGTTTTCTTCAAAATAGACGAAGATTTAGAAGATTATCGGCGATTGAATATTAATACGCGATTGTCTAACGATTAGAATGATATAAAAACGAGCACTCTAAAATCAAAATGTGCATTTTGCCATATGTTTTTACCATTTAATAGAACACGTGTTTCAACAAATTATTTTCTTTCTTGTTTTTTTCTATTATTTTATAATAAATTGTTGAGAAAACAAAATATTATTATTGTATGAACAATCAAAAAAGAAAAACTGTGCCGCTTCAACTCAATCAATCAATAAGAGTAACAAAGATGTAGTAGAGACAGAGGAGGACACGGTAAAAATCATCACACTTTACAAACCATTTATATTGAAGAGAAAAAGAGTCAATCATATCGTACAACAATAACAATGTATAAAGGTATGAGAAAAAGTTTTTTCCTTTTTTAGTTTATATGCCTCAAGCATAATGAACTGCGGTAACGGAACAATGTTTGTTTATACAGAGAGTACTTATATCGATGTTAAACTTTAATGTTTGCACTTGTCGAATCTCATAAAAATAGATTCCTTATATTTGGAGACGTTTAGGAGAATGTATTTTCGATTGTGATATATAGCATGTTGTTCTTGTCATGATCAATCATAACAGAAATTGTCAACGATATGGATGGTACGCTTTGTTGAAATTTTTTTTTTTTTAATTTAAATTGAATTTGACAGAAATTACAAAATATCATTATTCTTATATATTAAACGATGTAAATAGTTTACAAGTCTAAGTCAGTTTTGGTTAATAAAAAGAATAAAAATGTTATTTTTTATCACTAAGAGAAAAGAAATAAAAGTTAATTTAACAATAATGCTCGATTTTTCTGTCTTATATCGTTGAAAAGAATAATATTGTTTTTTAATATAAAATTGATGGAAATTTAACGCAATTTTATAGAATAAATATTAACATAATAATAATTATTATATATTTATGAGCTTCATAGATAATTGAAAAAAAAAAACGAAATAGATAATTGGAAAGAAAACGGTGCAACTAACTCTATTAGGGTATGATAAATGGATTACTATTATTTTTTTCTTTTAGACCCATATTGAAGAGAGTGTATCACAAAGTTCTATACAATAGGATATTCATACCAGCAATCATCGTTCAAAGAATAAAAATGTCTTTGTGAAATAAATGATGTATTCATGTTTATCTTTGATAGTTCGATTTGTTTAATGATATTTTTTCATTCATTTTTGTTTTTCATAAATGCTTCTATGTTTAGCATTGCTGACTGGTATTTTGATATGTACTAAGCAACGTATATACTGTGTTTAAAAACATGAAATACTTATTTATTAAAACTCATTAATGATCGCTTATATACATTGTATAAACATTATTATTAGAAAAATGAGTATCTCATAAGTAAACAAACGACCATTTAGAACAAAGAAAGAGAATGAGAGACTCGTTCTATATCCTAATAACTATTCAATATGCCACCAGTTCTCCATTGACAAAAAATCATCATATAATTGAAAACGAAGATGAAAGCTTAATTTTGTAGTAGTACCAATAGTCATGATTTTGAACAAAAAACTAATATCTACAAAGAACTAGAGTTTAGGAAAACGTATAAAAAATCCAATATATTTTTCATATCTTCCAAACCATTTGGATAGAATAAAAGATAAATGAAGAAAAAAAAAAGACAATCGTCTAAAATCTGTCAGCTGACCTAATTTTCTTATTTGGTTGTTTGCGAAACACCAAATTTGTTTGATTTTCCCATTTCACATGATTTTATGTTATTTTTATGTCTTTAAGAAAATATTCAAAACATTGATTATGGTAAATAAACGTATCGAAATTAGAAACCGAGATGTGCGAAGAAAAGAAATGTACCGAGATTATCAGCACTAGTAAAAATATCAACTATAAGTCTGTTTGCTCATGTAAATGTTTATTTATCGTTCTTCATGTATTGCACAGTAGTATAATTATACTGTACATGTCGAAAATCAAATACAAACTTAAATCTCTCTCTCTCTCTTCTCTCTCTTATTCGTGTACAATTAGTAGAGCCAAAAAAGAAAGAGAAAAGGAATCCATTGAGTGTCGATGATGATGGTAATGATCAGCAGCATATATGTTTATATCATGTTTACTTGCTTATTATTGTGTATATTGACAATAGCGGACATTTCAATTTAGGATCAAATAAGAAAAGCGAGCGCTTCTTCGTTTGATTTGATATCAACATGAATCCATTGTTGTTTTAACTAAAATGCACTTGTACATGAAAGCAAAAAAAAGGATTATAAACATTTCAAAAGTATATTGGAATAAATGTTGTATATGTAGAACTTATACATTATTCCATAATAATAGCATATAGAATATAACAAATACTATAGTTTTTGTCAAAGAATAATTTTTGACAATTGATGAATTGTCTATCTGGTAATTTGAGCGTTTTTTCATTTGAATTTTTTTCAGTTGATTAGTAATAGGATCAATGATAATTAATTTATCACAAGTATTATCGAATGATTTTAACCATTGGTGTTTTTCATCAAGATGAAATATTTTATTTCGTGGTCTATATAAATGTGAGTTATGTCCATAACTAAAGTAAAACATTTTTGATTGTTTTGTATTTGATGCCAATGCTAATACTGCCGCATGTATATTACCATCACCTAGTCCTTCCATAATTATTGTATCATTGTTCACTAATTTTTGTATAAAATTTTTAACAACTGGTTGGTGCCAAAAACTAATTCGAGTAATGAAGAAGTTTGTATAAATAGCATCATGAGATATAAATGGAAAACAATCGATTATACATTGTTTCCTATAAGATGTTAAAATACGTGGTATTTCTGAGCCAGCTAATTTTATATCCCATACAATTGCACGAAAACCGTAATCCAGACTCTGATTATGAATTTCAACGAAAAAATCATTTTTAATAGATTCTGTGAAATAACTATCATCATCCATTCGCATGATATAATCATATTTTTGAATACTTTTTAGATAAAATACATCGTATGACCAAAACCGACACATTAAACGATATCCTAATGGACGGTGAACAACAGAATAGCCACGAATATAGTGATCAATTAATTTTTCACGTCTAACATAATCGATTGTTACTGTTGGATTTATAATCATACTCGTAAAATTAATTAATTCAAATTTTAGATCCAAATATACACACGATTTTAAATAATGTTTCATCGTTAAAGTAAAATTACTATCATGAAATATGATTACGGAATAATTGTAAGGATAAAATAGTTCAATTGAATGCAACATGTTAATTGCACGATGTATTGATTCATTGTGACTACGAATCAAGGTTACAATGACAGCTTTAAACGATGATTTCGGTATAATATTATCATTCTGTTTATAATAGTAGTAACAACAACAGAATAGACTATTTATTAATGTTAAATAGAAAATAATTCTAATTCTTCTTGTTAGATAAAATGTTCTTATTAGAAAATTATTCATTCAAAAAATAATGCTGACGCTCTATATGTGCATAGAGAAATGCATTTTACTCTTGTACTGTTAAGTGTTACTAAATCCATTAGTTTTATTCTTTAAATAAATTACGCAAAAACAACTATATCAGAAAGTTACATTTTCAATTTACACAAACGTCTAGAAGGTAAAGTATTATGAAATACCGTCTCACATGAATACAACTATAAACCAAAGAAAGTTGCGTTTTGAACAGTAATGTTAGTATATGGGTAATTTTGTTCAGTTTGTACTATCATCTTTCTAAGTATGACCTGGAACATTTTTCAAATGAGAGATCCTAATATGAGATTAGCGAATATCACGTAAAAATGATTCTGTTACATGGACAACACAGAAAGACAAAACATCAACATTTTGCTCTAAGAAATCTAGTAAAGATCAAGTTTCTTTCGAGCAAAAGTTATAGCGAACATCTGAATTCTTATGGAATATATAACATTAAGATAGAGCTATGTTTAAAAAGCTCTTAAACTGCTAGATGTGCTCCAAGAAGATTTTTCAGAAATCAGTCTATAGCTCTACTTTAAAAACGTTGTAAAACTATAAAAAGCGAAATAATGCATTATATATTCATCTTTCTGTAGTCTATTTGATAGAACATAAAAACTATTCAGATCGCTTTCCAGATGGAAGTGAAAACTCTGAACGTGAGTAATGTTTTAAGCATTGTATAAATTTCAATAGAAATTCTCACAACTTTCAAAGCTAAGAGTGAAATTTTTATCTAAGGATTATTTTCAACAAAAGAGAGTCATTGAAAATTCAAATGTTGTTTGTAAAACAAAACAACTTGCAATAATTGACACTTCTACTGCATTAGAAACCTTTATTTAGTAAATAAAAATTTCTAATGCAGTTCAATAGTCGTGGTTAAACATGATTAATCATGTTAGATTATATTGGATTTATTTTACATAAAGGCAGGATATCATAAAAAAGATTCCAAATACTTGTGGCATCCGTGGATACGTTGTGATGACCTAAAACTAAAAATTTTAAGCCAAAAATACAAAAAAAAGAAAAAATATATATAGCATTGTTAAAAGCCCGCATAATCTCTTAGCATATTTTTAAATGTTGATAAAGAAGATTGACCTGTGAAGGTAGTTCATTCCAATCTTCCGATGTTCACGAAAGAAAAGAGCTACACACAGATTTTGACTTTCAACGGAGAATAAACACGCGACTATCATGACCTAATCGAGAACTTTGATGCGTTATTAACTGTGAAATCAAATCAAAAGAGGAGAGAGGACTTTTATGATTGAAAATTTTATAGAAATAGAGAAGGCGATAATATAGACGTCTGTTTGAAAGTGGTTGACTTTTAAATTGTTTGAGTAGAGAAGAAGAACTACTAAAGTCTTGTAAAATGATTCTACTAGCAAGATGCTGAATTTTATCCAAAATATGAAGATGAGAGGTGAAAGTGGAATTGTAAATAACACAACCGTATTCAAGCACGGCTCTTACACAAATTTTATACAGATGACAACGAAGAGATGAAGGCGACTCACAAAAGACTCTTGAGATAGAGCCTAACATTGGTCGAGATTTCATTGAAAAACACATTTAGTGTAAGCTTTTCATGTTAAATTATATGAAATAATTATGCCAAGGAACTTTAAAGACAAAACTCTTTCTACATCAACGTTATTTATTGAAAGGGTAAGTGAAGGAAGTATTTTAATAGAGTTTGAAAATAAAATCCATTGTCATTTGTTTATGTTTAATTTGACCGCATTTATATCACACCAAAGAAGAAGCTCATTAATACAGTTTTGAGCCTCGAATATGTTTGTAACACAGAAGACATCATCAGCAGAAAGACAAAAAAGAAGAGAAGATTTAAGAGATGGTGCAAGATAATCGGGCCAAGAATACTGCTCTAAGGAACTCCAGACGACACTCGAACAGAAGAATAAAAATCAGAGCCCACAGAAGCTTTTTGTGTACGATTTGAAAAATAGGAAGAGACCCATTTCAGAAGACTTCTGGATATTCCTGTTTTAGCCAGTTTTTGTAGTAAAATATGATGTGGTACAGTGTCGAATGCCATGATCATTGAACAAGCCATTTGATTTTCGCCCGTGACTTCTGGCTGTATAGCCCAAGCTTCTGTCTTAATGTATTTGAAGTTGTTTAATATAAATATTTGCCACCGATTCGTGTATTTTAATAATAAAAATTATTTTTCTTCAATTTCACATCATTTGAGAGAAAATTTAGAAATAAATAATGACTAATTCAGCGTGTAGAGAAAATGTACACCATTGTTATATTTCATTTAGTAACAGAAAAAAATAAATTGTCAAGAGTTTAATACATATGGGAAAATCCATGACGATTGTTATAACATTTTCACATTTTTACGGAGATTTCCAACATAAAAATAGGAACAAAAATTTCAGTCGTATTCATTACATTCTTATCTTATTCCGCTTACAAATTTTGTCGATCATATAAAACAAACTTATATTCATAAATACATTCATCTAGCTTATGTTTATCACACACATTCCAACTTAAATTTTGTTGAAAACCGAAAATAAGATGATGCGTACAACATTGCCATAGTTATCTTTCAAATCATCCGAATGTTTCATACGACAAGTAGTGTATAGTGAGATCGTATAGGCTGACTGAATAGTTAATAAACTATCACCAATATCATCATACAAATAAGATTCATATCAATCTTAGTAAGTTTTTACAAATTTAATACTTTTGTTGTAAAGTTTTCTAAATGTGATTGATTGTCAATGCTCAACTTCAATCAAATCAAATCAGACAAAATATCAACCGTTAAACACTACTGTAATACAGAAACTATATTTATAAGAGAGGCTTTTGAATGATAATTCATCATTCCAACATCAGCTGTTTCCATTTCATCAACAGCAAAACAGATCCTCACTTCTGTTCTTTTCATATTATTAATAAGTTATGATTTAATCATATACAAAACGAAAGAGTACTTCAAGTTACGAGAAAACCTTATTAGGAGCTCTACGACCACCCACTGGAAAATTTTATCATACAAACGAACGTTTAGATGCGTCTGTTCTCTATAAAAAGATAACCCAAATGTGTCTCTCGCTCTTGAGTGAGTGCGCCTTTTCGAAAAATCAAACGCGTTTTAGAGCTTTTAATTTGTTTTTTAACTGAGGAAAATGATGTGTCTGGGCGCCCTTTTCCTCTTATCGGGTAAAAAAAAATATTATCTTTAGACACGTTCTGACGCTTTTTTTTTATAAAATGAAGAAAAACGCGTTTGGATGTTTGTCTGTATGACAAAATTTTCCAGCGGATGCTCTATCTAGTTAATATTGCTGAGTTTTAATCTGTTGTGATTCATCAGAATTTCACATCGCTCGTTAAATCTCTTGGTTTTAATGAAAAGACGTATAAAAATGTATAATAATAACAACAAGAAAAAAAAGCAGCTCTAAGACAAAGACAAATAAATAGTTTACATTTTATTATTTTTACTTCTAAACAAATGAAGATGGATAAAAAAATGAACCACGACCCGCTCGTCGACCACTATAACCAAAAACGCCACCATGTGATTGTTTTTCATGAACAACATTGAATTTAGCTAAAAAAGATTAAATACAATTACAATATCTACCTAATTGAAATAATCCAATTATTTTTAAGTTTAATATAGACTCACTTATATAATTATTTAATGTATTTATTTCTTGTGTACAACACGCTAGTAGAGCGAGTAATGCAACATCTGATTGTTGAATATTAAAATCATCACGAAATAATGGATTATTATTATCTTCTGTATTTATAATCGGTAATCTTTGACACAATGAACCAATTTCTCTTAATAAATCGTCATTTCGTGGTAATGTATTATTTTTAATTGCTTTAACATATTCAAGTAATAATAACATTCGTTGATATAATAGGCGTATGGCATTATATTGAATATGTATTTGTTCCGTAACTACTGATGTATCCGAAGAATCTGTTACAGAATAACGTGCCACATGATCAATACCAATTCGTTCAGCTTCTTCGGTAACTAAAGTATAGGTTGTTTCAATAAAATCAATTTTTGTTCCATCACTATTACTATTTGGTAAAATATCGATTATTGTCTCATAGACATGTACCGGTAATTCATTACTAACACCAAATGGATCTAAACGTAATAGTAGTGGACTCTCATTTAATTGTACCAATTGTTGATGTAAATTACACATTAAATCAACGTTTAATTCACTATCAATTGCATACCAACCACTAAAATCTAAATCTCCTTGAACTAATTTGATTGATTCTAATTTTTTACTCAAATAATCTAAATCAATTATGATACCATTTGTTATTGGTTTATTAACAACTATTTTAAATTCAAATGTATCACATAGTTCGATGTGACGACCTTTGTGTTTACCAAGCAAGGCTCCAAACACTTCAATATTAGATGATGTTGGTAGCGATGGTGTTCCTTGAGGACGTGATTGATTTTGGACACGTACTCTTGTGTAATGTTCAGCTATATTCATAATAACAAGAGGATGTAACGATAGTGTTACACTACTGGCAGCTGATGCGGCTTTCGGAGTTGTTGATGACGGATTCATCTTGTTCAACTATCTATAAATTTTCAAATAAAAACAGAATCAGATATGCAGCAAATAATCGGGAATTTCCTTAAATTTAAATAAAATCCTCTCTTTTGATATGTATTGGTATCATTCGTAGACAAAAAATTGAAAAATGATGCTATCACATATTTTTACTATTTAGAGTTTATTTTATTTAGTCTTCTTTTAAAAAGATCTGTCTTTTTTAAACAATGTACATGCATCTTCTTCGGAATATTAATATGACAGTGAAAATTTGATACGTGGTTTTTTTTTGTTTGTTTTGGTTACAACGAAAGAAAGATCACACACACAATACAAATGAAAAGATAACTATAACGAAAGAAAAGACGACTATTACGTTCAACACAAAACAAAACAAAAAAGTGATAAGAAGAATAAGCGAAAAAACAAATAAACAAACGATCATTGCTATTGCTTCAAGTATTTTAGTTCTCTCGCATCGAATGTTTTATACATTGAGAATTAAAAACACAAAAAACAATAATTATTAAAAAGACTTTCTCGGAGGGCCAAACACAGCCCGATACATCTGAACAACATAAATGAATCCATGACTAAGATACAAAAAAAAATAGAGTAATTGAGGTTTATATTAATATAAACCATCGTTATTTTACTCACTATTCTTGCACTAATCCTAGATGCGTGCGTACAACTAAAAACGTTTCTTTTTAGACGTAAACTATATTGTGTATATATGTGAACATGTAGTCTTTAAACAGATCTGTCAAACAAAACTATTTCTTATGACTTACATTAAAACGTACATCAACAACAGCGAAGAAAAAAGCAACAAAAATCTTAACTTGTGTAGGATGTAAGTACAATAAAAAAGATAATAATCATAAATATATTTTAACTATGCGTTAAAGATGAAACAGCTGTTGTAGAAATTTGACTCACAGTCGATGGTAATGGTTCCTGCTTAATGGAACGATGACGTGCAGTAAATAAATTGGCTATTATCGATGAGGATGTTGATGTAACGACAATATTAGACGATGGATTAATTGTACAATAAAATGGCGGAGATTTAATAATATTACCAGATGAAGGTTGTTCAACAACGCTCAGTCTCGATGGTAATAAATATGCGGTGTTGGGCGTGACAAGTTGTGATAGAATTGTTGGTGTGATTGATGATGATACACCTACTGGTGTAGCTGTTCGTATTTTTTCAATTGACCGCTGAATGCGGACACGTCCAAGTCGTCTAAGATTAGAATTATTCTACATTAATGACATTTATTTCTTAGAATAGACAAACAATCTTACTTTGGAGCTAAAGGTTGTTGAGTTTGTTTAATTAGCGAGATTGTAGAAGAATTATGTACTATACTAGAAGGTATAATAGTTTGTACTTTTCCAATCTAAGTAAACAAATATTCAGATTTAGAAATATCTGCTCACATGTAACATAATAATTAAATTCTTACTTTTTTGATTGCATTAGTAGCGGTCGTTATTACTGTTTGTGTCGGTGGTTCTGGTAATGTAGTTGTTTTTCGCGGTCGTCTTTTACCTGGAAAAAAAGAAAATGAAACGATACAAATGTACTAGACTCATTTAATAATTGGTAATAGTAGAAATGTGAAAAATATCCGATGGGAAATTTTATCAAATTTTACGGCGTCAAGTACAGGAGTCATGTACTTGTTACATCAAATGTGCGGCCACGCATTTTGACAATTTTACATAATTTTACTAGCGATCAGGCGTGGAAACATTCATGAGCATGTGAACATATAAAATTCACACGTTCACAAATTGTGCTAGTAGTCACGTAAGAAAATATTTTGTGGACATTTCACAAGTAAACAAAAGTTCTCACACATCTCTACGCCATTTTATGATATTTACGTGCATCATTCACATATCGTTTCACAGTATTCAAGAGTATATATGCTGTGTTATCTGCTAATCTCTCGCTCCATGGAAAGACCGTGAGCTTTGAGTTATCCCTGCTATTTCTCTATTGATCACTAATGTTTTTTATCCTATAAGTTAGTATCGTTTCAAAACTTCAAAATCCAAAAGTTAAATTTTTTCTCCAAACTCTGTTTGTCAAGAAGAGTGGACTCTGCTGCATCTTTGACAACAATAATCAACAAAAACAACTTACGTGAGAACAATAATGCTCGTCTTTTACGTCGTCTTGTTGCCTTTTTTGGAATTGCTGGTACCGTATCTGTCATCAGACTATTTGGAATATTTTTAGATAAGTTAGGTTTTTTTCTTGTTGTCACTGGAGTTGTTACTAACTGAGAAGTATTATTATTTTGAGTGGTACTTGACGAAGATTTAGACCGAGAAGTTACACCTAAATTAGAAATAAAGAATAAAATTAAAAACTGAAATATTTATTTAAATATTTTATTAAACTTACGTGTTGAACAATAATTATGTATCGGACTGTGTGCCTTTACTGTTGATATTTTTTGTCGACGTTTGGATGGTGGAGGTCCAATGACCGTATCATTTGATTCTCTTGAACTATCTACTATAAAATATGTAGAAAATAAATTATTAACATTGACAGATCCCATTGATATATTTAGTCTAATATACCATTATATGAATGACGACGGCTAGGAAAATTGAGTGATTGGGTGCGACGTCTCAGACCTGGATCTAAAACAGGATAAAAATTATTTATAAATAAATATTCTTTTATCCGAAATGAAAACACTGCATACCCATGTTGACACATAATGATTTTAAGCTATTTACAACAAAGGCTTCTGTTAGTTGGGGTTGAACAACCATCTGGTTCGGCTGTTTTTTGAGAGCTAAAAGTTGTTAGATAATACATTGTATTTGATCATGTTATTTAATAAGATCGTCAGAATCCATACTTAGTTCGGTACATTGTTTGATTGATTGTTGCTGTTTATCTATAACTGTTGTTGTTCTTTTTTCGATTACTGTATTTACATCATTAACATTATCCACTGACAATGCTCGACGACGTTTGCGTGAAGAGCGCACCGGATCTAAAATAAAACACAAAGCTAACCTATATGAAAATAAAAAAACGATAAACATACTTTGTTGTGGTTGTGATATAAGTGTATTTATGTTACATTTCTGAAATAAATGTGAATCGACCACTGAATTCATTGTTGATGATATTGCTGTTGCACATCGACTATAGACTAGAATATAAGCGTCAGCTGTTTTAACTGATTCAAATGTCGTTGTTTCAACAACATGATCATCACAACGAATCCATTCGCCTATAATAATAAAAATATATAATTCAAAAATTAATATTACGCTTGTTAAACCTATTTACCTATGGCATCATTATAACAAAATGAAACAAAATGTCCGGTATTAATACTTTTTCCATAATGTACAATCACACCCCGTAGACGATACTGACAGTTATTTGAATTTATGTTTTCTTGTGGCGGAATCGTTTGCTGTGATTGTGGATTCGTGAAAAATGTTCTTTTTCCATTTTGACGAGTATTACTATTGTTCATATTCTGACTATGGGATGTTGGACAACAATATGGTGCCATATCAAGATATTCATCAAAATTCACATGTAGTGTTATTTTATGTGACAATGACGCTTGGCGAGATGTCTGACGTCGAAGATTTGTCTTGGGTAACGATCTAAAAGAATAAAACCATCAAAAATAAGTTCAACATAATTTAAGCTATTCGATTAGTACGAACCTAAATCGTCTCAACACTAAGTGAAGTACTTGTGGTAATTTAGATATTAATAAACGTTTTTGTGCTCGTGTGCCCTCTTTTGACGAATTACGAACTAAAAATTAAATAAATAAAACATACTTATACACAAAAACAAAACAAAATCATACTGGCACACTGCGAACATTGAAATGGTGTAGATAATGCTTCCCATTGATGAAACTGAGATAACATTTCTGTTAAATGACACGATCGACGACGACTAGAGCCACGTGAATCACAGAGCATTTTTTCTGAAAATGTTAACGTTATAAACGTTTCATCCGTATTTGTTATTGATATACGATGGCATTGTTCACACAAAATCTAATCGACAATGAAATAAAATAATCAAATTTACTGTTTTTCAACATCTTCATGAATAAAAACTTAATACCTGACTTTCTGATGAAAAACCTAATAAATGACTAATTATGTTTGTATCAGCTAGTTTATTGATTTTAATTTCCTCCGTGATAGCTGATAACAGCGCTCTAAAATACAATGATTTTAATAATCAATTAACGACAAACCAAAGGATTATCTTACTCTAAAAATTCTTGCGCATCTTCCATTGCACATGGTTCAAAACATGGTAGAAGATTTCTGATAGCTGTAACTATACTCAACGGACTAAATGTCTGACACTTTCCAGACCACAAAATGTTGAATATGCCATGCAATTCATAAGCAAGATAACTGTAATGAGAAAATGATGTCTATTTTTATTTGTACAAACAAGTAAAATTCATATACCACGGCACACGCATGGCCTGTGTTTCGAGTGTTTTCAATAAACTACGACTTCCACCCTTCAGTTTTGGTGGATGTTCGTGTGATAGTGATGCAGTCTAAAAAAATGGAAAAAAACATGCATTTCACATAAAATTTGTATTCATACTGTTTACCGTTGGAACGTCTGACGGTTGTTCAAGCCCAAGACTTTCAAAACTCATTGAACAAATGGCATCACAAATTTGCGGTACATGACTAAAACAAACCATATACATATATATACTTCTTAAAGGAAACAAGCAATACTTAAATACCTCAGAAGTTGCAAGACACAGTTAACGTAACACGTATTTCCTAAATTGTATAATCCAGTGTTGCCGCGAATTGGTAACTTTGGTTGTGCTTTCATACTAAATAAAGCAAAAGAAACAATATTATCTATCAAATATTGATTTGAACTAGGCAACTTTACAGGCATACTTACAACGAAAATGTTAAATAAGATGATGCTCTTTTTAAATTAGAGTTTGAATCGAACGTACCATTTTTAATATGATTATTATCGGTATTCGAACATAAAGGAGAAGGGATTATAATCGACGATGAAGAACATAAAGTTTGTTTCGGAATAATTTGAATATTTTTTAGTAAAATCGGTTCCGTCATTACATAGTTTAGTCAAATAAATGAGAGACAAAGCAAAAAAAGAAACCGAAACTTGTAAAGAGAATAAGTTCAAAATAATCGTTATGAATTGCTAGAATAAAAACATAAAACAATTGAGCATAACGATGAAAAATCTTTTCCATTTGCGAAATGAAGATTGAGATTTTGTTGGAAACTAGTAATTTATTTGAGCAATATAAGAATCTGTTACTTCTTGTTAAGCAACTAAACAAGAAAAAATCATCAGAACTAAGGCATTTCTCTTCTAAAAATTTCTCAGCTTTGCCAAAAATTTGTCTTTATGCTGAAAAAAGTCAAATGTTGCACCTCTTTTTCATATAATTTAATTCAAGAGCAAACAGTGATACATTGAAGAGAAACAGCGACATCTTTTAAATATACATAGAATAAAAATGAATCCAGAAGAACGTTATTTTTTTTTGTTTTTCTACCAAACTTAGCAAACAAAAACTTTCGATCACTTTTAGTATATAGTTTTAATCGTCTATAGACGTTTAAATTTTTCGGTTGTAGCATTGACAATAAAATAGCGTCAATATTAGTAGTATAGAAAGAACCAGAGATGCGCACTAGAAAATCGTTCGTAAAATGACACAAACTTCTTTATTATAATTTTAATGAATATTGTAAGATAAGAAGTTTTGAAACACATCAAAATTTTCTTAAGCAACACAATACAGACATCACAAATTTGAGTTAATAGTAGAGACAAACGTCTTTCTGTTGGATGTAAACAGTTTCATACTATGTTGCTCAAGTGGCACAATATACACATGCCTGTGTTACAAACAATATTTGCGTTTGATTTTAGGGTATCTTGCGTGTTTTTCTCAGCTGTTTTATTTTGCGGCATTTTTTTTTCGATAGTTCACTGAGTGCATATTTTGTGAGCGTGGGAAATGAGATATAGAACATCGCATATCCCATACAATAGAAGAAAATGTTTTTCGGTCTAATATATAAGAAAGAAAAACAAGGAAATTGCATTAACACTGACAGAACTGACGGGTATTAACATAAAATAATTGTCCAATTGAATAGTTAGCTACGCATACGTTTAACCTAAATAAATATTTGCAGTATTTATTGTACTGAAAATTTGTTTCGTCATGATTTATAATTTATTCTTTTAAAAGAATTCAAAATTTTAGCTTTCTAAGTAAATAAACCTTAAAGAGACAGCTTATCGAATGTAATTGGACGGTTTTGAGCCAATCAATTTATTATTTATCGAATAATGTGCGGTTGCTGCAGTTTAGGTTCGATTTTGATTGAACTGCAGCAGTGAATCATCGTTTCTGTGGCGGAAAATAGATAGTGTGATTTACAAACAAATCCAAATCAGTTACCTTCTATACATCATAAATCTCTTCTTGATTTTCTCCTTTTCGTTGTCATGTCTGCATGCTTGGGTTTAAAAATGCCATTTGTTTATCATGTACGACTGAAGTTCTGATGAGGAATTTATCGATAAGTGGTTGAATGAAAGTCGTAACTTCGGTATAAACAATAGTAGAGTACAACTTTTTTTTCTTTAATTCAGAGATGATTTGAATTATCTTCACATTTTTCTCGCACAAACTCATACAGGAAGGAAAATCGAGAAATATCATCTCGTATGTATTAAAAACATGTTAATTTGCTTTTTAGGATGTATTTTATTTGATCAGGGTGTTTTTGCAATTTCGATAGTTTTGTTTACATCAATTAATGACAGTTTGTCACGTGATCATTATGATTATTTTCTGTTTGTAGAACAATGAAATGTGTGAGTAATAAAATAGTTGAATAATATGCATTGTCTTTATTGCTGATGAATAATTTTAAAGACGAAACGATTCCATACTACTATTTATAAATTATAAAAGAATATTCTTCTGTATAGGAGAGAAAGTAGTGACTTTTTAAATAACTATGAGTAAAGAACAGAACAGAAAAAATATTGATGTCTGCTATAGAATATATCATCGTATTGGTCATTCTAATGCGTTGATGAATCATTCTTCTTCCACGAAAGGTAAAAAACGCCTAATTTTTCAATTACTGATTTGTATGTTCTAATTTTATCTACTCGGTACAAATCTTTTTTGATAATTCTTGATATACCAATCTCAAACGTTCGCGTTCAAATTTAGATTCGGAAAAGTTCAGTTAACAATTTTTGTTGTCCTATAATTAATTTTGATAATATTCTACGTATATTTAATATAATTGAAAAACATTTTTGTAAAATGATTTTACATAAAAAGCGAGCTTTCACATTATCGCTGTCATACTTCACAATATCATCATCAAAGCTCGCTTTGTATATAAAATCATTTTACAAAAATGTTTTTCAATTATATTAAATATACTTAGTTTTATAAGAAACGTAAAAAAGTCAAAGAATGTCAATGTGTTTGATAATATTCATAGTTATAATTGATGTTTGTAACAAACAGAATGTTAAATCTTTAAAAATACTTTTAATTTTGATTTAACATTTATAACTAAATCCAAATCGAAAATTAAATTTCGAACTCCAATCATAAAAAGCTCAAATTTATGCATCTCTAATTTATCTCGTTCTTTCTAAATGATCAAAAAGTACAATGTGAACATATCAGTGATAAAGTACATATTTGTTCTAGCAATGTCAAAAGATCGATGTATGTTCTGTATAAAGGTAGTGTTCTCGATGAAAATTTCTTTTTGTTTCTATACTTTGCACGACGTAGATACATCCTTATTTTCATAATATACTGGATGTGTATATAAAAACGTAAACTAAACACAATTTTTTTACCAATAGGAAAGAAACGTCATGAAACTTTCGGTCTAAATTTGAAAATACAATTCAATAAACATGTAAATGAATATATCTAAATTAAATTGAGTCTTATTTATCTATGAAATAGAAAGCAGCTATATTTGTAATATATTAATGTTCATTAGTTTATTCTTTTTTTTGCTTATTCTTTTAAAAATAGAAAACTTTTTTCAATATTAATAATATTGAACACGCTCCTCCACAAGTGTGTTTGCATATATAATAAATTATTAATATCAAAAAAAAAAAAGTTTGTCAAGATAGAAAATAATAATTGTTCTCATTTTTTGTTACTGATGTTAGTTAATAATAAAAGATTTAAAAGTTTTAAATAAATATTATCCAGCTTTAATCAAATTTATACTCTACTAACATGTTTAAAAACATATTTAGCTTAACTGAAAGTAACTATAGAAAATTGAAAAATTCTACGTTGTTAACATTCGAGATCTAGATTACTACTGGTATCAAGATTTGTGAAACGAATAGTTAACATATAATTAATATTCGAAAAATTGTTGATCTTACTTAATGACAGCATAGAAGCTGAATTTAACATTTTCATTTCAGTTTAAGAATATGAACTTGTATCTATCACATTTTATTTTTCTATCTTTTATCAAATTCAATAAAGAATTTTTCATTTTTCACCGTTCATTAATAACATTTTGTTGCTATTATAACTGTTAACAGCAATTGCTGCATCTTGCAAGTTATTTGTGTATTACATTCTCTTCATATTATAGAAATTAATGTTTTTTAGATTAAATATTTGAAATATATTAACATCATGTCAAACGTTGATTACAATGCTCCCGTTCCATTACAACCAAAAATTTCATGTCATCCTGAATATATTAGATCAATACCAGGCGTTTTTAAATTGATTGAAATTGTACGCATGGCCCTATAAACAATTTCAATTTCTAAAGTTTTTACTTCTTTTTGTTTTTTCGTTTTAGGTATGTGATGTACTGGCATTGATTCTTGGAGGAGTGGTAAGTTAAAAATTGTTTTTTTTTCTTCTGAATATTCTTATTTTCGTTTTTGTATTTATTGTAGACGCAAACCTATGTAGGATACGTCGGACATCGAGGATTTTTTTTGTTTGTGGCTGCTCTAGCATTGATTATCACATTGATTATACTCATTTTAATCCTAATAAACGTACAGAACGTTTGTGTTAGAGATAAATGGAAATTTGTTGTGAGTATTATTTACAGAAGCTGTTTATAAATGAAATGAGAACGTGATCTTGCCAAAACTATCGTTCTTAATCTTGTTCTATATCATTTGAATATAAAATAAGTCAACTTTTGACGTTAGTAACTTGAGTTAGAATTTTGCCTATTACAATAGATCAAAGGAAACTTGAAAACAATATTAAATATTTATTTTATTTATTTTCTATATAATTATAGGAAATGTTTTGGTGCGCATTCATAGCATTGCTTTATTTAATTGCAAGTATTATTGTGGCAACACTGGCAAAATACCATGGTGTATACGGTGCAGCAGCATTTTTCGGTTTTGCAGCATTTATAACATATGTATTTGATGGTTTAAATAATTTTCGTATGTATCGTTTTGGTACAACTGTGGAGCGAAACTATGGAAATACAACCGTTACACAACAGACAACGACAACTACTCGACAAGAAACATATTAACTGTGAGGTTCTGTTACTAAAGGGTAAAACGTTTTTAAATAGCGTGAAAAATATTGTTTGTTTTTTTTATTTTTATTTTAAAGTTATCGCGTCTTCGATAGAATACATAAACGATGGTGAATTGTATATTTTATTTCTTGTTATTCATTTTTTCTTTTTGTGCAATGTGCTTTTCTATATCGTAAACATTCCGCTTTACATTTACACAATTTTCTCAATGTTTGGAACTTTTTTTCTCGCTTTATTTGTTGTAGCAAATGATTTTTATACTTTTTATTGTTACTGCAATATTGTTGCTAGCTGATAATCTCATTTGTGCTCTCTACATTTCTTATTTGTGTTGTGGGTATAACTGAAAGGAATTTTTAACTCGCTTTTTTTCGAATTTTTTCAAAGTTTAACGTTTTCTTTATATACAGTATATCTCAGTTTCTGTATGAAGGTTGCAGATAACTGATATAAAAGACATATTATTGTAGACAAACAAACGATGTGAGAAACTCAATAGAGAATTGGTGCAGAATGCACCCTTATGCATGAGCAACACTTGAAAGGACAGAAATTATTCCAGAAAAGATATTAATTACTTGAGAGAAAAAAAACTTTTTTACTTCTCTAGTTTAAACTAATGCGAAAAGCTAATCTAGTTCAAATTTATAATTATCACCAATCTTTACATTTCATCAGAAATTACGTTTAAAAACATCATCATCGGAAAATTTTTAAGACCCGACTCGGAGAAATTTATGTTTCTCTACAATAAACTAACTGACAGTACTCTCACTGGTATGTATTCCAATACTTTTCAGGTATTTAAGTGTTGAATTCACACAAGGAGATTATAAGATTACAAGAAAAAACAAGATTCTAAAGATGAATCTTCGCATTGATTGCTCTGAAATGAAAACTGTTTTTTCCATTTAGATACGTCTGTGATATAGAGACAGGATGAAAGCCAGAAATATAGCAACTTTTACAAATAATTGTATGCGTATGTAATTCGAAACAGAAAAACACAGATCGATTTAATTAGAATACAATCATCGAACATGCTCTGCTTTTCTTTATTATTTCTTTATTAATTATTTTCTACGTTTTATATTATCAACAAGGTCTAGATTACTTCTTCTTCTATCTAATGTTAGAATATGTTTTACATCCTTTGACAAAAATACATCATTGATTCGTTCGAAGGATATTCTGTTTTCGTTTCTGATTACAGTTATATGTATATTTTACTGACTGACATCATAGTTACGAGTAATGGCATGTCCTTAATTTACTATAGTGTTCATATTTTTAGGTTTCTTTTCATATATATATATATGTATGTATAGAAACATGTAAGAGAAGATAACTCTTCTAACGCCAACACAGGCATATGTAAAAACTCTATTGTCATTCAACATAAGAAATGTTGCTAGATATCTATGTAAAATGACACGAAAATGAACACGATAAAAATTAGTGATTTTATCATTCATTACCATTTTAGACAAAAATGTTTCACAAAAAAAATGATAAAAAAATCAATAAAAAAATGATGATAAGAATCTTGTCTGATCATGAAGACTTTAAAGATTTTTTGTATACAAAATAGCCAATGGCAAGAATTTTATAAGGATATTGACAAGCAAGTGGATAATTCGACTTTATTTTCATTTATTAAAGTGAATTTTAACGAATTTTAAGTTCGAGAATGAATAGAAGAAAATTAATTTAATAAAATCTACTCAATTCTTAGCACAAAAAAAGATAAGAATACCATCAACATTATCATCCTATGTGATATATGTTTCTTTCTGATATAATTTTTCTATATCATCATCTAATATTAGTAATAAAACTGTGGTTTTTTTTTGTCTTCTTCTATCGTCCTTCATTCTAAATATTTATTCCATATAAAAGAATAATAAACAAATAACAGAAACACTCGTCGATTCACAAATTAATTCTCATTGACTGCTTTTCTTGAGAAATTGATGGTAAGTAGAGTTGTTTAACTTAGAAAATATCTCTGATAAAACATCACTGGGAAATGATAAGTTCATCATTCTGAACAACAACGCATTATAGTAAAAGCGTTCTTTCAGTTTAAAAACTAATCTCTATATAACTGTTTAATTAAAAAAGTATATTGAATATGTTATTCAGTTGGTATTTAGACTATAAATAAGATAATCAAATTGTTTTTTAACGTATAAAATTGAAGGAAATATTCATCTGTAATAATATTAGAGAAAATTGTGAAGAGAGAGTCAAATATGAAAGACACAAAAAAATATCCGTCGAGACATTTTCTAAACTTTATTGTAGCTATTTTTGGATTTTATTTTGAGATGACAACAGTTTAAAGTAGTATATATAGTAATAATGATGAAATGATAGTATCTTTATATGAATGATGTGTTTCGTGTGTTTTCACATCATTGTTGTAAAGATTCTATAAATTAAAACCTTACATAGAATGAAAACAACACGACAACAATTTTCAACACAGTTGTACTTATCAATCACCAAACATGTGTATTTTGTACCTTTAGCCTCAATAGTTGTTGTCAAGCGATATTGACAACAACTGTTAATTCTCTACGTAGAATTTTAATGGCAGATTTCGACTATATATTCGCCGTGTACTCTGACAGAAAAAAGAATTCAGTTAAACTTAGTAGTCTTAGTGTATTAAAAGTTTTTCTTTCATGGCATGCCAATTTAGAAAACGGATTGATTCATCTTGATCATCGAATGGTATTCTTTTCCAAAGCTAAACTTAAAATATAAAATATAAAATTTATATAATTAATTATTTTATATTTTAAATTTTTTTACTTTTATTAGTGATGGCTGACAATCAAAAAATTCAATTTAAATTAAAGAATAGTATTGGTTCACTAGAATTTGGAAAACCATTTATTAGTGGTCCACGTGGTATTGCTTATCGTCCAAGTGATCATCTATTATTCATAGCCGATTCAAAAAATGAACGTGTTGTTGGTTTTACCGAAGATAATAAATTGGCTAAAATTATAAGTCATTATGGAACAAAAAATGGTCTTTGCATTATGAGCAATGGGCAACTATTGATGACAGACGAAACTCAAATTCTTTTAATGAATAATGATTTACGTTTGGTAAGAGCATTTGGCCAAGATGATATCGATGCTGGTTTTACTAATTATCAAGGAGTATGTGTCGATAATAATGATCTTATTTATATATGTGATCAAGCCACACGTCAAATTAAAGTTTATGATCCAAAAACCCTTGGTATTGTCCGATTTTTTGGTAATAAAAATTTATTCAGTTCATTAGCTTATTGCACAGTGAACAATGATCATTGTTTTATCACCGATCCCCAGGGTAGTTGTGTTCATAAATTTACAACCGATGGTCAATTTGTCAGTCGATTTGGAATCGAAACAAATGAATATTTTCAAAAACCATTATCTAGCCCTAGAGGAATCATACCATTTAATAATGGTAAACACTTGCTTGTTGCTGATAGTCATAATGATCGTTTGGTCGTATTCGATAATGATGGAAAATTTGTACAGTTAATAAGAGAAAGTATCGATTATCCCGAAAGTCTTGCTACAAATAAAAATGGAGATATATTTGTGGCAATGCGTGATACAATTGGTCTTTTTTCAAGAGAAAATTAACTAACTAAATTAATTGACATTATTTAGAGAGAAACATTAAATAGTAATCATCTATCGTCTCTGACATGCAATCTATCTTACATGCAATTACTCAGACAACATGTGATTATTAGCCATGAGATCTTTCGACGGCTCATTGCCTACGTATACGTTTATCTTCTTTATTGATAATATAAAAAATTAACAAATGGACAAACTTAGCAAAGTTATTAGCAACATAAAATATTATTTTCCTATCTGAACTTTACTCTTGTCATCATAATGTATCACAGTCATTTTTCTATTGGAGACTTGAAAAGTATTCATTGCAAAATGTGTTCATCCTTCTTGTCTGACACTCTTTTTTTCCAGCATTGTTTTTTGTTATCCTCATTTATATATATCTTTGTATTATCGACTTTTTCCCTAGAACAAAAGACTTTTATTCAAGGTAATAACCATATGCTTTCAGGAACTTGACAATGTTTGAAAGAATCTTTGTCATATTGTAAAGATGATAAAATATTTTTAAATTTATTCTGAAACTTTAGAAGTCAATCAAAAATACTTTGTAATTCATCAGTGTATATGTGCTGTACAAGTGGCATTTTTCAGAACTGACACTGATCGAATGACTAACTAAAAACGACAAACTGAATGAATGTATATAAGTAATAATAATAATAACAACAACGAAAACTTATTGATGCGACAATTCATAATAAAAGAGGTAAGAGTGAGAAAGAGAGAGAAAGAGAAGGAAAAATAATCTGTACATAAATGATTAAAATCGTCAAATTGATTTACCAAAAGAAAATGTAAAAATAGATCCACAGAAAATAAAATACCCATTTTTATTATATATTTTATACAAAAATACTCTCGAAATAAAAAGTCAACTCTCAATTTCAGCAATATCGTAGAAAAAAAACAACAACCGATTGAATATGATAATCTCTTTCACCGGCAAATTCAGATCAAAAATGATAATGACAAAAATCATTTAGTCGAAGAGTATAGATAACTACATAAGCGAAATAATGAATAAAAAAAAAAGAAGAAAATAGATGAAAATAAAATCGACATAAAAAAATATTATCATTGAATGAAAAAAAGAATTAATTTTATACAACTCGACTAGAAACCTTATTAATGGAAAAAGAATAATATGTACATGTAGATACTGTTTATAGACAAATTTTATTCAGTTCATATAGATCGAAACAAGTTTAAATTACAATGAGAAAATTTAAAAAAAAATAAAATAAAATTTAAATAAAAAGAAAGATGTTATTTCATTTCATTAATAATATCATCTTTAGATAAAACTTCAAAATCTTCATCAAATTTTGTTTGATATTGAGATGATTGTTTTTGTAATTTTTCATCTTTAGATGTTAAGGATGATGAATGACTTGTATTTTCTTTATTTTCGTTTTTAAAACTAGATTTTTGTTTCTCTTCAATATCATCTTGTTCTTCTTCCTCTATACTGCTTTCATTCTCATCCGGTTTTGCTGTTGTTAATAATGATACTGTTTCCTTTTGACTGGTTATTTGTACTTCCTGATTATTATCATTATCATCATCATCATCATCATCATCGTTATCTTTTTTCTTTTTTGTTGTTGGATTCATTTCTAAGTTATACAACGGTACAAATGATTCTAATATACCGACATCTGCTGTTAGATTTGGTAATAGCCAAAATTTAATTTTACCAAACGTTAATATCCAAACAAATGCGAATAGTATGTATTTAATAACAGTCAATGACAATAGGAAACCTAGAAGACCAGCTAATACTATTGATAAATAATAGACACCTAAAAGAAAAAGAGTTTTTATTGTTTAATCAAATTATTATGTCAATAAAATATTATTATTCACCTGTACGAACTTCTGTTGGCCATAGTGGAAATAAACATATACCAATACCTCCAATAACAAGCAAAAATCCAAATATATACTGTTTTATTGTTGCCGGATCATAAACCCATACATAATATTCATTTGGTGAATCAATAAAATCTTGCTCATCTTGCAGTTCAAATTTAAACTTTTTCTTATTTTTATTTTTCGAATCTTTATCTTTATCATCATTTTCTTTTGTCATTGATATTATTGGTGCTATTATAGATGTTTCTGGTTGAGTTTCAGATTTTTGTACATCTAATTTATTTTTACGTTGACGTGTAGATTTTGGTGTGTTAGGTGCCGAATCTTCGCCATCTTCTTCTTGTTTTTCGAATTCAGTTTGAATGTTTTTTTGTAAGGGTGCTTCTTTATAAATTTTGACAACACGATGAAACATATCATTATGTAAAAATTTTCGTAACATTTGTACACAATCGTGTTTTGTTGAAAAACATATTGTATTATTATTATCACTCTTCATATTGAGAGCTTGTGTAGACATTGATGACCATTTTGTTTCAATTAAACATTCAACAGCTTTATTTCCGGTAAAATATGATACTTGCGTACCCATTAGCATGCCTTGTTTCGTGTGACATTTGAAACGTAAATATTTTGCAATTTCTTTTTCAATTTTTGTTAGTTTATAAGCATCATCATCCACTTTTCGACGTTTTGACTTTTTACGATTGTCAGACATATCTAGAAAATAAAAAATCCTGTAACAAGCAAACAAAAGTAAGATTTTTAGAAGAAATAGACACTCAAGTCCACTTTCTTTTCGTATGTCGCGACGTGAATCTCTTTAAAAATTCGCGGCAAGATCGCGTAACACGTTCGGTGTGAGACTTGCGAAATAAGACGCGATTTTTAGCGATCGCTAATTTTTCGCGCTCATAGAAAAATCAATCACTCTCAAGTACGCCCTAATTTTTTCTTACATTGATCGCGTACGGATGGCGAAGTCGCAGCGCGATCACTAAAAAGTCGCTATTGTTGCTTCACGATTGTGAATTACAAATTTTCGAAAAGTAAGACTTCATCATGAAAGCAATTCCGAATTACAATTTTTCTCCAAAAATAAGAGTTGGTCGCGATCACGATGCGACAACAGCGACTTCTTAGCGATCGTGGAACGAGGACCGCGAGGACATGAATGAAGCAAGAAAGTGGATTTGGGCAGATAACTGCACATGGACGTCACGCTAATAATTTCTCCGTATAATCAGAAATATCATTTCCTTGGAAGCTGACCCTCTGAGTCACATTAGAACACCATCATCCGTACTTTTATGATCAACTCTTTCGTGTTAGAGGAAGAGAAAACAGCTAAACTTCATCTATTACACTGTGTGATGAACTGCTATACCAATAAACGTTTTAAGATTTTGAAGTTTTGTCCATTATATTTTTATTTATTTGACAAGCTTAACGATAATCATGTTTATGGTTTTTGAACTAATCGGCTGGTCTCCGCACAAGAAGGTCCTTTTTTTATGCTGTACAAAAAAAAATTGTCCATATTATATAGAAAACAAATATTTACTTATCATCTATATACTATTTAATAATTGTCAAATATAATTTTTATAAATGTTGAGATCATAGTTAATTGCGTCTAGAACGAGATGGGGCAATAGTAATTTCACGTTCTTATTATACGATGAGATACTAAAATCGGTCGCAATACACTCAAAGTACCCTTTCTTCTCAAAATAACAAGGAACATGCTGTTTATTCAAAGTTCACTAAAGTTGTCACAACTCTGCAAATATTTTTGTGATGGATGGTAATATTGTCATTACATCATTAGTATACAAAAAGTATTTTCTCTTTCGATCGTAAAAGAAACAATTATCCTTTCCTGGAGACTGACAGAACGTTGAATATTGAGAGAAGTGAACATTGAATATTCACTATGCAGTTGAACAATACAGATAGGTAAGGTAATATTGATCGAAATGACAAGACTTCTCTTTCATAAAATCTATGTGGTGGGTCGATTAATATGTTCACTGCACACTTATTGTTTACCACAAAATACAACGTTTTACAGCAATTAACAAAAAGGCGAAGTCGTATGTGACAGCCAAGTAGTCTTTTCTGATGGTTTACGAATTTATTTCGGATATTCACATCGCATCTGTACAAATTTTAACTTTGGTTAATAAGAACTCGGCGATTGGCTCATCATTCTCAGATGTAAAAGCGTGCAGAAGTAAGAGTAACTTGGGACTCTTAGGTAGAGATCTGCATGGACACTCTTTTCTAAAGCTTTTTTTACATTCATGTTTTCAATGCCACTTCCAGCTTTTCAATTTTTTTCTGCAAAAATGTTCATTTTTTCTTTCTGTGAGAAAAAAGATGTGTTTTTCTACTACAATCATTTGAAATTACTTTTCTTTATTTACAAATTACTTTTTACTCTTTTCCATATCGAAAATTATTGTTCTCCGTCTGTTGTCGATCTCTTCTTGCTTGTAAACTTCGACTTCTTATACATACATAGTCTTCCTGTGATGAATAAGAGATGATATAAGAGAAAGCGTCAAAGATTATGTACCTATAAAACGATGACAATCATTAAGACTAGGTGTACATAGGAATAAACATATACAAATAAAACATGAAAGGAATAGCAGAAGAAAAAGAGCAACATAAGGAAACAGGAGATAGAAAATGTCAAGTAAACAACAACATTCACGATTTGAGACGGTTAAAAGACAACTAACTGTTAAAAACATGGTAGTATAATAGTATTTTGAAAGAAATGAGAGAAGATGAATGAAATCTCTGACTGTGGAACATTATTCCAACCAGTCAATTTACATGATGATAGATTTTGTAAAACTGAAAAAGATGATATTTCGGTTGTTTTAATGAGTTTAGAAAAGAAAGTTGAAAAGAAAAGTCAGAACCATTTATATTATGATTAAAGTTTTGAAGAATAATTTGAGCACCTAAATGATTCATAGATCAAAAGTAGAAAGAGAAGATGAAATGCCATATATATCACAGCAATAACCAAGTATAGGAAGAGGTCGGGTGGAATAAGAACGCTAAGACAACGAACAGAAGGAACAATACTTAAAGGATAGTTATTTAAATATTATTTAAATAATTTTAATAAGCTTTCGACGTTTATTGAAAACAAATGTAGAGCAATTGAACGAGAAAGAAAATCAGCAACATTTAAAGACAGTAGGTGAGAACACTTATATGTCTACAGATAACAATACGGAAAACTTTTGGTGATATCTTATCTAAAATAAGAAGACGAACCGTCCATGCTATCAACTTAGGCTACCAATCCTATTTAGCCTTTACCTTTGTCCAGATCATTCTCCAATCCTGTATTGTAGCATATATGTAGAAGATAATTGCTCTTCTAACACACGTGAGGGTGAATCATTATTCTCAACAAGGTATTTTAGGCTAATTCTATTTTCTAAGTAAATTTTGAAATGAAATAGTCGATTAAAATAATTATGTAGTCTTGACTTTTTATCAAAAAAAAATTCAAACTTACTTTCTGTTTTCTATCTTAACTTTTTAATCAAAAAATTCGAACTTATTTTCTGTTTATATAATAAGCAAGCAGGATTATATTAAGCGCGTGGTGCGTTAAGAATCCATCATCATCGATGGCGCGATCTTGCCCAATCACATGCATTCATTATTGTGGCGCTCTCCGACTTGTTAATAAAAGTTGAGACGCAAAGAAATAGTTTTTTAAACACTTGCGACTTTACTTATATCACTCTTCTACAGTGTATCTCCAACAAACGTTGCAAAACTTTACTCAGGTTTATCAACTCGAACATCGGAATTGTCCAGCTCCGATCGATTTACTCGATCGTTTGACTATAGCCTCCTTCATACAAATACACAGTGTTTTTTAAAGTGGAAACTTTCGACTTCATAATTTCTAGCAAGAACTCCTTAAGATAATTTTTCCTTATACTTTATATGGCATCGTAGAGTAATTCTTTCTATTGAATTTTATTATTACACTCTAATTGTACCCCATATTACTCTATATGACATCTGACATTTTTGCTACTTGTCTTATACTATCCTCTATTTCTTTTTTCTTCTAATTGGCCCACTCATGAAAATACCTGGTCGCCATTTTCGCGTGTTAGTTTCTTTTTGGATTCATACGATATAATATGACCGAGATATTGAACTTTTTTCAAAAACGAACTCTAACTGTTAATTAAATTTATAGCTGAGTAGAGATATAGATCAGTAAGTGCGAAGTATTCATGCATTATTCTGTGACAGAACTGTCTAATATGAACATGTTCTAAGAATTACCGTTGTTTTGGATTTTATTAAGTTAGATATACTGAGTGACTCATTTACTAAGTTTTATGTTGCAAAGGAATCTATATTACATGCATACACAGTGTAGTAGTATTATTTATTCACGAACAGTGACGAAGCATTGTTCGACAATGTACGATTAACAAACTTTGAGACTTATCTGTATAAGATATGGATACATTCCTTGTCAGTGATACTGAACCTTTCGAAATTTTTTGTACCTGTGCAATGTTGTCAAGCGTTTGATAAAAATTCTTTTGTTGCTATCAATCACATTCTGTCTTCCCGTGTTAGGTGTTAGTCTAGAAGGTTCTTATTCCTTAAATATATTTTATTAAATATTGGCTTTATAACGCCAATACTAGTCTCAATTTTTGGTCTTATTTTAGATAAAGTACTGTATTTGTTCTCGTCTTTTGTAAGAAACAATTGGCAAATATGCCTGTTGAAGATTTATCTGATGAAGGTTTACCAAAAAATCCAAATTTAGAATTAGCACAATATAAGTTTTTATTATCATTAAATCCGAATGATGAAGTGAGTAAAGAAAAATTATTGAATGAAATAACTCTAAACAATATGGCACCATTCTACTTACAATGTACAAAAGAATGTATACCACCGTCTTCGTGTGGTATAGTATATGACGATGAGTTATACAAGAGAATGAATCAAAAAAATTTAGAAACCATTCAAGAATTTGATGCCAAAATTGACGATAATGAAAAATCATTTGGTGAAAGTGAAATACGTGAATCCTATTTATCAAAATCACAATATTTATGTTCAATTGGTGATCGTGAACAAGCATTGCAAATGTTACGAAAAACATACGACAAAACTGTTACGTTAGGTCATCGTTTAGACATCATATTTTATCAATTACGTTTAGGTTTATTTTATTTGGATCAAGATTTAGTACAACGAAATTTAGATAAGGCAAAAACATTAGTAGATGAAGGTGGTGATTGGGACAGACGTAATCGTTTAAAAGTTTATCAGGGTTTACGAGCAATGTCGGTTCGAGATTTTAAAACAGCAGCCGAATTATTTTTAGATACAGTAGCCACATTTACATCATACGAATTGATGGATTATCAAACATTTGTGACCTATACAGTTATTTGTAGTGTAGTAGCATTAGAACGACCAAAACTACGAGAAAAAGGTATAAATTTTTCAAAATTTCTCACTATTTTCTAATTTTCAGTTTTTGAAGAAACTGTCGTTTGATTACGAATCCAGTATAGGGAATTAATGAATAGACAAGAGTGATAGTGGTACCTAGCAGGTTATGATTGTTTGCTTTTAGTAAATATGCAGTGAGACTAAAGCACATCTCCGATCGGAGTATAATGTACAATTAAAAATACCAGTTTATATTGTCTTTTCTCATTTTAGTAATACGTGGTAGTGAAGTATTGGAAATTCTACATGGTTTACCAGTGATAAAAGATTATCTATTTTCATTGTATGAATGTCGATACGGTGATTTTTTTAAATGTTTAGCAGCTATTGAACAAAATTTATTAAAAAAAGATCGTTATTTAGAAAAGCATGTTCAATATTATGTAAGAGAAATGCGTATTATTGCCTATAATCAGTTATTACAATCTTATTCTAGTTTAACAATAAAAGGCATGGCACAAGCATTTGATTGTACGGATACATTTTTAGATAAAGAATTGTCACGTTTTATTGCGGCTGGTAGATTAAATTGTAAAATAGATAAAGTTCGTGGTATCATTGAAACTACTCGTCCAGATAGTAAAAATTTTTTATATCAAGAAGTTATTAAGAAAGGTGATCTATTATTAAATCGTGTACAAAAATTAAGTCGTGTTATAAACATATAAACATTGGATACAATAATAACACTTGTAAGAACAAAAAATTAGATAACAATCGAGAAACGTTTTAACTCAAATATTGCTTTCATTTTTGGCTTTTCTGTTTTTATTATATGATAATAAAATTTTAAAATTGATGGGAACGTAAGAATGCACAAACAACGAATGATTTTATACTCACAATCAATAAGCAAGAGCTAGAACCAAGGCGTTAAGTACTTCTACTGAGATAAGATTAGCGGCAAATGTTGAGCATCTGTCTAATGTTAGAAAAGGCGAGTCACCAAACATTTGTCTAACGTTTTACACACACAGGGAGAGGATTCAGACGGTAAACAGGCGGACATATAGCCGTCGTTTATGCAATACCTTTATTGGTGTGCTTTTTTTACATTTATTTTAAACAAATTTTTATACAATCGTAGTCAGACAAGTTAACACAAAATTTTTAAGATGATATGACTAAGTTTGTCTCATACACAGTTACTTTTGTGGTTTAATTATTTCCTTAATACCATCGATAAAGAATGGATATGTGTCATAGGTCATGCAACAGACAAACTACAAGAAAGGAAAAGAAAAGCAAATGCTATTGTTGACATTATTGTAAAATCAAAAAGTGTAAGGAATAAGCTCATCTTCTCAATATGATCACATACAAGTACGAAAACATCGTGCATGCACGCACACAGATGGCATTATTAGCGAGGGCTCCTGGAGATAACGCTGACTTGATTATTTAAAAGTTGTGGTTTTTTTGCAGCAACCGAGGAAAAAAAAAGAAAAGGCATTCGCACTTCCTCAACAACGACTTTGAGATCCATTGGTCATCAATCAAAAAACTAAACATCGAGACATACTCGGAGTGAATATGCCAAGGAGTATACTTGTAATTTTTCGATCTTAAAGAAACAATGCAAAATTCCAAAGAAGAAAAAGACATACATTCATTTTTGAATATCCCGAAATATAGAGTAAACATTTTCCTACAGAATGAAATTCGCATTCTGCCTTTGTTTTAATAATGATTTCCAATAACTTGTTACTGATTGAGTACAGAATTAAAAGTAAAAGTCACATAAACCTCGTCAACACCTAGTTTTGTAGCGAAACATTTGCTCTAACTTCTATCACCTCAAAAACACCCATCTAGACAGACTTTGGCGATTCACGGAAAAGTTTAGAAAATATATAAAATAGGTCAGCAATGTTCCTAAACCTGTGGACGCATGGTGTGCCTTAGAGGACCGTACAATACGCCACCCCCAGATGTCGCTACAAACGATAACTGTCTCACGCCTTCTACAAATACTACTGGGTCCAAATTTATTTTGTGAAAAGAAAAGAAAAGAAATATATAATATAAAATATGGTGCACGAAGAAGAACACAACTCGCATTTTGATTAGACTCGGTTATAATCCAATAGACAACAGTGGAGCAAAGAATTTATTAATTAATATAACAAATGTATAGAGCACATAATGCTTCTATTTCTTTATATGAATACTGCATCTCTACAATTTTGCTTTTACCTTGATGAATTATGCGTCTTCTTAAAAACGGACAGAGATCTAAGACAAGATAATCTTCTGGCTAGTTCTTTAGACATGATGTAAGTGCAAAAGGAAGTAGGAAGAACTGAGGAAGTTCGCTTCTGTTTGGTGTAGATAACTATCTGAGGATCTTGTCAACAGGTAAATTCAGCTATTCATTCTGTAGAAAGAGGAGAAGAATGTAGAAAATATTCCAAAACCTTCGTAGACATTACTCAACGTTAAGATCTAAGTGATGAATTTCCTGTATCGACAACTATGTTTCAGTTTTCAGATTTTGAATTTCTTTTGTGAAAAGAAATCAAAAGTTGTTGTTTACTTTGTTTTTTCGTCTATTTGCGTGTTATAAACGGAAACATCATTATGTCATTACCAAACTCAAATAACTCAACGCAACTTGTCCGTGCTTCTGGTATGAATTTTTTATTCGTATTACAACTTGATTTCTACATTATACTTCTCTTTCGTTCAGGTTGGCCAAAAACAAATGCTCCTAATGCAACGGTAAGTCTCAGTATCAAAAGTGGTTTTTAACTTACTTCGCATTTTTAACATTTAGATCAATCCTACTTCTACCCCTCAAACACCGACGTCTGCAACGGCAGCAACCACTGTTCAAACACCAACGACACCAAATTCAACATCATCAACACCAACTATGCTCACAAATAGCAACTCAAAATTAAATAGTTCAACAAATAATAACATTCAATCATTTACCCATTTAGAACGTACAATACAAAGTTATCCCTTGACGAATTATACATTTGGCACAAAAGATGCACTATATGAACGTGATAGTTCTGTTCAAGCACGTTTTCAGCGTATGAGAGAAGAATTTCAAACAATGGGCATGCGACGTTCAGTCGAGGCTGTTTTATTAGTTCATGAACACAATTTACCACATGTTTTATTATTACAATTGGGTACAACATTTTTTAAATTACCAGGTAAAACCATAAAAACAGCTTTCTTTCAAAGTTTAAAGTGTTTCTACTTAGTTACAAACTTAGTCAGATCTAAATAATGTACTTCTTTATTTGTAATTTTCAACCGCTCATTTACTATTCTTCAGGTGGCGAATTGAATCCTGGTGAAGATTCAATTGAAGGTTTAAAACGTTTATTAAATGAAACACTTGGTCGTCCTGAAGTTACTCCGCAAAATCAATGGTTAGTCGAAGATGTTATTGGTAATTGGTGGCGACCAAATTTTGAAGCACCACGATATCCATATGTACCAGCACATATAACAAAGCCGAAAGAACATATTCGATTATACCTTGTTCAATTAGGTGAAACATCTATGTTTGCTGTGCCAAGAAATTATAAACTTGTTGCTGCACCACTATTTGAGTTGTATGATAATAGTTCTGGTTATGGCCCGATTATATCGAGTTTACCACAAGCATTAAGTCGTTTCAATTTTATATATAATTAAAAAACGACAGGAAATATTAATGAACATTTATATGCATCCAGACTCTAAAACTATCTTTACAAAAAAGCACATGTGGTGTAATTTTTATGCGCACAAAGGTGTTTGTAATTAAATTTTAATTGTATACAAATTTATTTGTACTTCTTTTTGAAGAGAAAAAAGTCGTTTCTTTTTCTGTTGCTGTTATTCTTTGTCTAAAAGATGAGATATTCATTTTTTTGTTGCTGTTTAGCTGAATAAATAGAAAGTGAGAACTAGATTATGAATATGGAAAAGTACATTGAACAAGAAACGATATTTGTCTCTCTCATCTTGATGACCAGGAAGAAACGTACAGTCTCAAAATGGCTAGAAATTTTTTTTACAAGCGAACAGTACAAAGTAAGAGCTAGTCTGTACAATATTGTCGTTTTCCCACAGAAATGAGTACAATTTTTTTTCTCCACATAGTTGTGCCCACTATGCTTTGGTTTTTCTATTTTCGATTCATTAAAACACTCATAATATAGTCAAAAAGATCAATTTTCAACAAAAAAGCTCACTAGTTTTAAAAAGATGGTTATTATTCTCGATGGTGTAGAGATTAAACTGATGACAACATTTAACATTTTTTTCTTGCATTTATTGTATTAAATGAAGCTATATTCTATTTTCGGTTATAATTATATTCTGGATCCGTCAATCCAATTAAGTAGCACTCTGTTTTGAATTCCACCTGGTTTTGGATGTTGTTTCTCGTTCTCGTACAATTTATGAATGAGTTCATTTTAGTATATCCTCCACATTCATAAGAAATTTCAAATAAATTCCGAATGACCGGTGATTCATTCAATTTCTTTTCATACCTGAGATAAATAAAAGCCAGATAATTTTACAAAAATATTCATTATTTTAACGCTCGACTAACGATCAAGATTATCTGCAGAATCGCTCTTTAAGCGTGGAATTATTTTGTTGATCCTCTCATTATGTTTCTAGTTTTCGCTTGTCTTAGTAATGATATTATTAATTAAATAAATATTGTCTATTGATCAGTGCTAAATTTGATTTGTGCCAATACTCTAGACTAGAACACAAATAGATATTGGAGTCGAACAACTACACGAAAATGCTTCTAATCGCGATTCTTGAAAAATCGCAGATTAATTGGCGATTCCGATGAAAATCGGCAATTAATTGCGATTAATTATTGATTTTAAGCGATTAAATGGTTATTGTCATTCACCATTTTATTTTGCAGTAACATATGTATACAAGAAATACGATTTCGACGAGAAATACACTTCTATTTAGATCATCATTATATTTTAGAGTAAAACGGAGGTGTCAAGTCTTCTCGGTGATCCAGCTTTAAGTCAAGCAGCCCAGTGAACAGCTGGTATCTGGGCAATGTCTAAACTCGATTCGTCGAAAAGGCTCCGACTTCAGCTGGTACTAAGACCCTTGCAGTACATGTCATTATACATAATAAACAATGAAAAAACAGAAAAAAATATGTATTTCCTAAGATCGGTTCGAAGTTACTACCAAGAAAAAAATCGTCAATTAATCGTGATTAATCGCTAAAATCATCTGAAAATCACCATAAAACCGTCAATTAATCGAGATTAAGCGTACGATTAATTGCCGATTTTTATGCGATTTTTAGTACATGGAATAGGACTTCATATGATCTAGTCATTATTGGTAATTAATTTCTTATCGCTTCAGTTGCCTATGATACAATATCTAACGTAGAACGTATCATCGTTGTGTAAGCCTGTGTAATAAGATTCATATGTTGCAAGGAACTTGAATATTTTATATGCTTCATTAATGAATTGTGGACTACTATAAGAGTTGAGTGAATTGTCATCAATACCATCGTTTGATCCCATATCTGTTTATTTCATGTAATAAAATACTGCTAGGGATTGTTTGCCTTGATCTGATATCGCATAATACATTATCATTATTGTCTATGTGACGATACATCGAACGTTTACGTTATTAAAAACGTTTTTAGCATGCTAGATTATTATAAAGGTGTGGAGTGTAACTGTTTCTCGAGTCCTGCCTCTACCTTACCCTACAAAAAGTTTTTGTCAGTATTTTTTATTGTCATTTTTGTTATGAACAAAAGTACCGTTCTTTTTTTAAATTTCTTTATAAAATCTTGTCTATTGTTTCTCGATTCACTCGCTGCAGACGTTGTTAACTCCTGATATTAATTTTGAAAACTGTAACTTTACCCGAACCGTAAAGGAGTTCGTTAATGCTTTCTCCTTTATTTTGAAGTACCCTAACACCGAATTCATTTTCATAGTTATCTACAATATATCTTTGTATTTTTTTATTTAAATTTGAATTAAATCAACATTTGCACGTTTATCTCTAGAACGTTCTTTATTATTAATCAATTTTGATCACATCTTTAGCTATTGATCGTTGTTTTTCTTTTATCTTTCTCTCTAAGTTTTATTGATAATTAAAGTTGTTTCTTAACATCAAACATTTTATAATTCAATTTTTTCTATGGCAAAGGATACCCAAAAAATAACACGCGACAAAATTGTTTCAATGCATGTCTATTTGACATACCATAGTTATGATTTAAAGTGTTAAATCATGGAATCTTTTTAGCTCTAAAGATTTAAGCCATAATATGCATTAACAAATATATCAGATGGTCTATAATGAATTATTTCCTTGTTTATTCAGCTTTTTCCTACTTGCACCTGTACTGAAAATTTTGTTCTTAGTTTAAAAGATAGAAAATTTAATTCTCAACAAAATGGTGTATTTGTTTTTACAAAATCAATAGAATAGTAAAGAAAATATAGAAAGCTCCGATTTCAAAACCTATACCATCAGGATATTAAGTTATTCGCTTGCGTTACTATAACTTTCACTCAAAAAAATTTTTTTCTACTAAAGATGCAGAATTTCAAGCTCTATCCAAACAGTCTTTAGTTAAATAATACGTTTATCTTTCAAAAACACAAAGAGACCTAGGTACTGCTAAAGACAGATACGAATAAACGAAACAGCGGTTTTTTAAGCCAGGAAACTTGTTCAAAAAATTTCATTTCATGAGTTGCAGAAAAATATGATGAATTTTGAACGTTAGAGTCAATGACTCTAACGTTACATTATAGTCTTGTCATCTATTGTTTTCTTGAGAATGAAAATTGTATTTTCGAAACGTCGAATTTTAATAAAAAATTGAATAATGGAATTAAAAATAGCTGCTGTTATTATCTCTACAGTTTTAAAATTTTTACCCGTTAATAAGCATAACATTTCTGTATTCTGTTCTATCAAACAGTACTTTCGGAAAGGATTACAGAACAACCTGTATTTTTACGGTTCAGTTAATATTGTCTATGCCTCTGATATTTCCGGTATATTTGGACTGACATCTTTATATTGTTTAAACTTAGATTATTTGTACCATCATCGAGATGGACTTTACATGACTTTCATTGAACAACATATTCTTTTCCTAAAGTACTAAGTTGTTCGAATATATTCGGTGTACGAGATTTAGACTTTTTTGTGGAGTATACAGTCTAAAATATCTACTACGTTAAACTGCTCATTAGCATAATACAATACAGTTTTTCTGTGTGTTTTCCAACATTTCCTTCTAAACTTTAAATTAAAAATTAACAAACAGACAACGCTTTTGCTATCTAATTATACAAAAAATACGACTTTCTCGGGGGTTCAAACGTTGTTTTAGAAGTAAACAAAAAACTATGGATAAGAAATACGTTTTAAAGCAAGCTCGAGGTGAACTTATTGTTGAGAATAAATCATTTATTATCAGTATCTTTGTCATCACCATCTTCACTGTTTTCTTCATCTATAAAGCAAAAAAACAAATATCAATTGGATGTAACAAAATTAGTAAGCAACCAAATAAGAATACCTTCATTTGCCGCTGACGTTGCTTCTTCCCCATCTTCTTGTTCTTCTGGTGGTTTTTCATTGTCAAATTCTCCCGGTTTCTTTCGTATTGAGCGTTCATATTCCCAATTTGCCCAATTGTAAAGAGCTACTCCCCATGCTATGTTGGGAAGCCAATATATGGCTATTGTTTTGAATAAACGCGTATAATATCGATATGAAACGTCACCACCTACTCCAGCATAACTAAAACAAAAGAAATAAAAAAACAGTCAAAGAGCGAATGCATTATTGAGATACGGATTGCACATACGGATTTTGTTGATAGGGTGACAGTGTATATTCAATTTTACCACGTTGATAACCAATTTTACCCCATATCATTCCCAGACGACGAAACGAAAAGCGCATTTTTCACTCTCTCTCCTGATCAAAATATTCTTACTACGTGTATAACACCAAACAAGATATAGATCTAAGAAAGAAAAACTTTCATACGAGATTTTCTTCGCAGGGAGTAATCAATGTACACAGAAGCCACATTGAAAAGTGTCCTCTGATCAAGGAATGTTGGAATATCTTGAGAATTTTCAAGTCCGCGATCCACACGAACAAAGAGTGAAAATAATTCCATCTCTTCACCATCAACTGGAGTCATCTTTTCAACGATCATCAAATGATTGTATAACCTCAAGCTCAAAAGTGACAGACGTCGACCCATTGTTAGTAAAATAATACACAAATCATTCGATAGAAAATCAACTGCACAAGAGAGATAATGCGAACGTTTCAAGGTTCACAAATTTGCACGTAAAAAGCTTAATAATGCACTGACTTGCGGAAAAGAACCATTTTTCCATGTATTACAAGTGGACTTGATTGGGTTCTTTCTGCAAGACTGTTTAAAAATTTGCTGATGTCGCTAGCAGATAGAGCGAGCTTTTCTGGCAAAAGCCGACCAGAGTCTAAAATCTGATGAACAATTTGAACAATATCGACTTGAAGAATCCTTTTGGAAAAACTAGTGATTTCTGAAGTTTAGTCGACTTTTAAAGTTCTGAAAGTTCTTTTCGAAAATCTTATAAAAAGTTTCTTTTTTATTGCGATTTCAATCTCTTCAGCGTTCTAAAAATTAAAATGTCTCCAATCCCAACTGAATCCGTTTGACCATATGAATAGCTGCCCGAGTTAGGTACCTTGCTGTTCGAGTTAGGTGGTCGTGTGAACGTAAAAACGCACGTCATTATTCTAAGTATATGTTTTTCTTTTATATAAATTAAAGTGCACAGTTATCGAAATGATGTTATATGATCGGAGTTTTTACCTATACCGAGAGTCTTCTAGCAGTTACGTTTTTGTACCAAGAAGCAAGTGCTGAAGAAAGAGCGAAAAATGATCTTGCAATGATCTGGTTTCGAGCTGAAGTTACATAATTTCTTTTGTCTGTTAAGCACGCATCAGAGACCGAAACGGGTCAACCAAACGTGACCCGAACCCGACCCGACCCAAATCAATATCTTAGATGTTAGTTCGAATCCGACCCAACCCAAACGTGGGTTGACCCGATCCGAACGGACTCGAACATTTTGCGTGATCCAAACTAGACCCGAAACATGAAAATGTTTTCGTACACATTCGCAAAGAAACACTTCCTTCCTATAGAAAAGTTATCTTAGTCAGATTGTTTTGAAATGTTTTCGAAGAGATCATCAAATTCCTTACGGTTTCCGTCATTTTTTCCTTTATGAGTGGAAAACTTTGAGTAATTTAGGCAATTTATTTTATATTGATCTGAGTTAGATCGAAACGGGTCAACCAAACGCGACCCGAACTCGACCCGACTTGAACGTGAGTTGACCCGATCCGACCCGAATCAATATCTTTTACTTTGGCCCGAACCCGACCTGACCGGACTCAATCCGACCCGTTTCGGTCTCTGGCACTTATGCAAGTGCGGCGCATACATGCGTATTAAAAAAAATTTTGTTGCCAACTCAAAATGATGAAACCGAACAATTTTCTCCTTTCGCATCAGAATTCTTCACGCATGATTCTGAAGATCGAGCTTATCACGGTTTTAAGCAATAGAATTTTATAATTCCACTATGAAAATAAAAGTTAGAAAGTCCAGTTTCTTCTAACAGCTATTTAAAATGAATCATAATTTTCTTGCTGAAAGATCCCATCGTAATTGATGCGAAGAGAAAACTGACGCTGATGTGCAAAATCTATGATACTCAACACCAAGTAAAGAAATCAAATCCATTTCTGCTTCTAAGGTTGTATAATTGTGAGAGACCTCTACATATTTCTAAAGCATTTTCTGTATGCTAAAGGGAATTCAGTCGATTTATGGGACAATTTCATTGTGATCACTATAAAATTTTACTACTTGTCGTAGATGCTTCCCATATACTAAAAATCGCATAAAAATCGCCAATTAATCGTAAAAAATTATGCGATTAAATACCGAGCACCAGGTAATGAAAAGTATTTTTATTGCAAAACGAAAAGAGAAACTGTGACAAAAGTTTTTTATTGAATACTACAAGAATTTCGAATATCTCTAATGCTCTTTAATTTACCGCGAAGTGGTTCAAGCGCCCAATGATAATGCATATCATTTTTCGAAAGTTAGGTTCATTTAGTTAACAAACTACGGATTAATACCTTTTGTGTGTACCATATTGCAACGATGTTGTTTGGACGCCGGCTCTCAAAAATCCTCATCAAAATTCTCGCATCAATCAGAGAATTTTATATCAAGCTTTATAGAGAACAGAGTGAAGTCTATGATCTCTACGTTTCTTAGAAGCGTCAGAAAGGTGGAACAATCATAATAAGTTTGGTCTAATAAGACATAAACCTCTAATCTCAAGAACTTAATGAGTCCGACTCATGAAGTTCTTGAGATTAGAAGTTCCTTACCAAGTAAATGGTTTGTTATTTACTGTAGAGTCGATAACTTTATCATAAATTTGCAGGTTAAGTCTTACGTATTGCGAAGAAAGAATACGGGAGAAGAACATAATATCATTATTTTCTCGTAATGTGATCCAACAGTGGCAAGTTTTCGTTAAAATATCAGGTGACCGTCCCAAATGGGGTAATTCTGGACCTTGGCTGGGAGCTTCTAGAAATTGAGGAATACAAATTAATCATATTGTTTTTTAATAAGATTTTTACATTAGTAGATAGGGAAATGTCCGGTCTATCTACCTATGAAGTGTCGGTTTTTCTCGGATAAAAATGCTTCAGCTACGCTCAAAATACTGTAAAAGTTAAAAAGCCTGCCTGGAATTATCCCAACTTACTCTATAAAAACAAACCTTTTCTTTTAATTGTTCCCGTTTGATATAAATAAAACCATTTTAGGCCAGGTCACGTTCGAATGATTTCAAACATTGGAAAACATCATTCATCTCAAAACATATGTTTAAAATGCGGTGGAAGAAGCCTTTTCCTTTCAGAAAAAAGTTCAGAATTTTTGCATAAAATAAAAGCGAGTATAAAATACAATAGTAAAATAAAATAAGGAGTGGTGTGGGGCGAATCAAGAATAATTTCGCGATCATGCTAGTATTTGTTGAATACCTTTTTTAATCTTAGAGATCTTTTTGCGTGCGTTGGCAGTCATATAGACAAGACTCTCATTGATACACT